CCCCCACCCCCCAAAACAGGGGCCATCTAACCGCTATACGGTCGCAACGGTCGCAGCGGCAAGCGACAGTGGGAGTAGAGGCAGTAGATGTAGAAGAGGCCGGTAGATGAGACCGCTTCAGCGGAGAGGAAAAGTCCGTTAAAAAAAAAAAATTCTCCCGTGGAGAAGCTAACACGGCAGCTTGTCTATCTTGGACGGCGGTTGAAGATTTAGCCGTTCTGTTTGCCAACCGCATCTTCCATTCTTATGTCTATCCCAGCGCACTCTTTGGGCTTGAGTTTGTGCTCCGGGCCCCCAGCTCGAGAGATTGCAGACTCGAGTGTACCAATGGGGTCGTCGCTTGCTTAAATGGCCGCGCGGCGCCCCATCAATTGCAGTGCAAGGGCAACTTGGTTGGCTAAATTTGTGCGCGTCTTACATCTGCGGCCGGCCTGTGGGCCCGCTGCCTGTGCATGCCCTGTAGCTGCCCTGCTGCGCGCGTTACGCAACCTTCCTCATGGGCTGCTGCCATTCAGACTGAGTTGCAGCAGATTGGGGTGCCTGACCCTGCGTGTTGCGGCATTGCCCCCAATGCACCACGTTCCGTGATGCACCGATGGTTACAGCATGCATTTGCAATCATTCGTTCGCTCATTTTCAAGCCGTCGCCCAAAACACCGACTCATTGTTGCAGTATTGGCAGTGGCAGCCGGCGCCACACCTGCACGCTGTTGTTTACGGGCGACAGACGTGTCCATTGCGAGCTCGTTCTTGGGGTCTTGCCCGATGCGGACATCATGACTTCTCGCATGGGCGTTCTGCTCACAGTCATGCTAAGCCTTTAACTCCATGTCGTTTTTGTGCCGTCGGCATGGATTCCCCTTGAACATGCATTGCTTCATTGCAGCGCACATCAAACCGCACGCCAGCGCTGGATGCAACAGTCCGGTGGCACTGCCCCGTTATCGCTACACCGGCTCTTCAGCACTGACCCTTGCATCAACAGCGCGCGTGATATCTCACGCAATATTGCCTATGTCGCACATGTTTGCCAAGCCGCAGCGGCATGTGAATCTTGATTACATTTGCAACTTTTCCTTATTCTCATCTTGTGAAAGCCAGTGAGTGCCGCTTGCGTAGGCTGCGTAGTTGTACATATTGTTCACCTCGTAAGTAGAACTTGCCAACGCTTCACTGATGTGATGTTCGCTTTACTTGCCCTGTTTGCAGCATATTGGTACTTTGTTACAAAGAATGAATTGGCAAGTAAACATGTCTCACGCTTTGACCATGACACTTGGTCGTTAACGGATTCTTCTCTTCACGAACGGGAGCGCCTCCCATGGCCTCTCTGTTGATGCCGCGGCCTGCCGTTGTGGGACTAGTTTTGATTCATTGGGTGACCACCGGGCAGCTTGCCCAAGTGTGGGACTTCGCGGTCGGGAAATTCCGCTGGAACGAGGTCCCGCGCTCATCTGCGGAGAAGCCGGAGCCACAGTCACAGCCAATGTCCGTCCCTGCGATGTCAACATCATCACCCGGCGACACGACGAGCGGCGTATTAGGGTGATCGCCAACGGGCTGCCCCTCTGCGGTGAAGCATGGCGAAGTCCAGCTCGCTCGCCCTCGACATTATCCTTGTCCCGGCCCTCGATGCAAGAGGCCGCCCGCGGCGACATCAGCGCAAGCGCAACACTGTCGGTGCCGCCTTCCGCATCGCATCCAGAGCTCTGCGTGCTCCGCGGTGCCGGCTCGTTGTGTTCGTCACCGAGGTTGCAGGATGTTGGAGCGTCGAAACCATTCACAGTTCGTCCGACTCCCATCCCGCTGGCGAGCACGGTCCGCCCCTCCCGTGCGCCTCCCCACCTGCGTGCCAGCATGGGTGCAGTGGTGGTCGCGGAGTCCCGGCTCTTGCGGCCGCCACGTCCTTTGCAACCTCGCTGTTGTCGCTGCCCCTCCTCGATGGCCCTTTCCCCGACCAGCGACGTGCTCGCCGAGCACCGCTCGACCGCCCCCCGCATGCCAATCGTTTGCCCGCACGGTATTGCACCCACGCCGGATCCACCCCAGTCCTGACGTGATCGCTTCCGTGTGCCAGTTTTTTTCAGCCTGTACGAGCGCGGTCACAGTGCAGCTGCAGCCTACGGTGCTTCAGCAACCGAAGCGGCGTCGGGGCCTAGGCCCTCGCCGGGAGCTGCAGGACCTCGTGCACAGCCGGCTCTCCGGCAGCAGAGGCGACGGTGTCGAGGGGAAGCTCGACCAAGGGGCTGGCGAGGGTTCGCTGCGCCGCGGCAGCGGCTATGATGGAACCTCCAGCGAGACACATATTTAGGCCACCCGCAGAGCCGACCCAACGGCAACGTGCGCACACGCAGCTCACGCTCGTGCAAGAAGCTCGAGGAAAGCTGCGGGTGTGCCAGTTGGCGTTTCCGGCGAAAACAGGGGAGCGAGAACAGGGGAACGTAGCTGCGAAGGCAGACGCAGCGAACGAAAACAATGCCAATCATCGCTGGACAAAGGCTGAGATGCGGGCAGATGTTTTTTTCCACCTTTTTCACTAGAAGTCGAAACGGTCCAGGCGCATAAAAATGCAGACTACGGCGGACCGGGGCAAAGGCAACGCACAGGCTTAGGGCCTTGGTGTGTGCAAGGATTCGGGTGAAGGATGCGGCTTCCTGGCTCCAACGCCCCTTGATTTCAATGCCGAACACAACGAGTCGGCAACGGCATGCGCGGAGCAGCTCCGGGTAGGTTTCTCGTTTTTTCCCTCGCTCTGCGCGGGAAAGGGAGATGCCAGGTTGGACATCGGCGCTGGGGTATCACGTGCGAGGGTGTACACGATGGCTGCATCGACGGCGAGTTGAGTGCCACAGAGGCTGGCCGTTGCACACTACGTCGATTCGCCGCGCATCGCTGACTGGAACATCAGTTGTTCATTCCATCGACGCGGACATTGCGGGCGATGCGGGCCCCAGCCTCGCGTGTCGTCCAAGAAACTGAAAACAGCTTCGCCGTGTAGCAGTTGGTCGTGGACATCGCACAAAGCAGGCTGCTGGGCGGTAAACAATGCCGGCATGAGGGGGCACCGACCTTGCTCGGAAGCACAGCAGGGTCGACACCCGGCAAATCTTTTGCCACACCTCGGGGTTTAGGAGTGCCCGGCACAGAACCTGGCAACTGGGCAGCCTTGGCTTTGGGTCGGGACGCTAGGGTCTCGCGCCGGCCTTTCTCGGGTGCAGGAGGGGCCGGCTGGGCGTCAGTTCCACTTGCAGCAGCAATCTTTGCCAGCGAGGCCTCGATAGCCTGAAACCTGGTCTTGTAGGGATCGCCGGCGGATAGTGCTGGGGCTTCCGTAAAACTGGAGGGCATACGGCAGCAATGGGTGCAGCTCGGGGTGGCGAAGCTCGCCTATGGCAAGGTGGTCGAAGGCGCCGACGGGGTCAACAGAGAGGACCTCGCGCGGTCCGCTTGTTTGCATGATGTCGCCCGTTGGCTTCTCTCGACGCAATCACTCTCGATGTGGCATTGCGCCAACGGATCCCACGCATGAGCCGCTGCAGATGCCCGTGTTCCCCCTGCGAGCTTTTCGCGAGTGGGGCGTGGTCGGATCTGTTGCAGCAAGCTGCCGACGCAGTTGCTCGAGGGCACACCGCCAACTCCAATTCGCACAACACGCCCATTGATGTCGATGCCCGTGCGTCGCGAGCCACTCGCGGGTCGAGCCCTGGTCGCCCAGCCACTCGCACCGGGCACGGACGCCACGCTTGCTGAGCTTCGCGATCCGCATCCCCGAAGTACGTGCCGCTGACGCCAGATGTTACCGGTTTCGTGATACGCAACTCCTACACCGGGCTGCTTGTCGTTTGGCACAAGCCGACGTTCCGACGCCCGCCCTCGCTGCCTTGCATGTCGGCAGAGTCGTCGCGCTGCAAAGTCCTCCGCCGCCTGGTCGGCCGCACCCTCGCCCGAGCTTTCGCGCCGTATTTCCAGCGTGCTTGCCTGCCGCACCAGTTTGAGCTCAGCACACGTGCGGGAACTGAAGCACTGACGCGTGTGCTCCGTGCCGCCACCGACATTGACTCGCGGGTGACGGCAGCAACGGGCAGCCACCAACTTGAAGTGCAAGAGCGGAAGATTTGGCCTGCAACCCGACGCAAGCAGCTGTATCAGCACGCCCATTCGTCGCTACAGTTTCCGGCGAGCAACACATCAACCGGACGTTCAACCGGGCTCGGCCGTTGCTGCTGCGGGCCGACGCAAGCAACGGTATGCCACACTTGTCATCTTCGGCGTCGAGGTGGCAGGTTCTGCCCCGAAACCTGCGGCTCCTGCGCCGTCCCGTCGCGGTCCCACGATCGTTTCTCGCCAGTCTGCTTCCACCCTCGTCGCCGGGGACTTCTAGCAGAACAGCCACCGTTCCATGACACGCCGCGGGGACCGACCTTGGCAGCATACCGTAGCGCCAAGTTAGCCGCTCGACAGCCTCACACGTTTGAATGACAAGGCATGCTGCGATTGTTGTTTCATTGAAAACAATTTCATGCTTGAGCACGTCGTGGATGCGGACAAGCAAGTTCATGTCTGGGATTAAGCTTGTTTCTGCATGTGCGGCTCCAGATGCTGACATAGCCTGAAAAGCGGGCAGGATTACTAGAACTTAGTAGTGACGCCGGTTCTTCTCGCCACGAAGGCAGAGGTTTGTCATGAGGGATGATTCCTGCTGACTTTGTGCCAACCGCACAATCAATGACCCGAAAACAAATTTTAAAACATCAGTGTTTCTTAAAAGTGGCAAAAGCCGCATGAATTTGCCGCTTAGTGCTGAGACTTGCCGAATAGCACGAGCTTGAAACCGGAGGTGCGGGGGAGATCGGCTTGGCGCGATGATGGGCTCGGGCCTTCGTCCGAATCCTTTGAAAGGAGAGCCGTGTTTAGGTTTTGGCGGAGCCTTCGGGTTTCGATTGGGGTTGGGTGCCAAAGATGACCAAGGTGTTTTTTGCTTGTATTGCCTGTGTCAGGCTCCTGGTTAGGTGCAGCCACTTCTCGAGAGGGTTCATCGAAAAAGTTTTCTGGCTGCGGGGGGGGGGGGGGGGTAAGGTGAGGTTCCGGGTTTGCTTGTGATTTTGGGTTTGCTGCTTCAATCCCTTGGCAGCGTGTCACTGGAGGCTATGATCCCGCTGCCTACCAGCAGCTCTACGCGCAGCAGGCCATCTTAAGAACAGTTTTCGAGTCGAAGGGTCCTTGGTACTAAATGAAAAACATAAACATATAAATTACGTAAAAGGTGCATGAACAGCTAAATACCAGCTAAATACACAGCTGAACTGAGAAAAACATGCGCGGATAAATAGACGCATTGCTAGATAATAGATTCGATAGTTACGTATGCCATATTATGCATGTAGACATATACGGACGTCAAGCATACTATGGCAAATATGCTCGTCTACGAGATATAGGACAACAGGAGATAAGCCAGATGCGGAGATTACAGATGATTCTTTTGAATACATGTATGGGAAGTAATTAGAATTTGGTTTCAATGCATTCTTGCTGGGGAGCATGTGTGGGCATGCTGGTTGCAAGCAGGTTTGATATTTCCTGATAGTATATTATACCAAATATAATCAAGATAATCTAATTGTATATAATATAATGGATAATATCATATTATGTGATGTTACGATCTATTCTGCTGTAATATTATATCATATTCATATTCTAATTCGACTCTGATCTATTCTTCCATGGTGTTATTTCATATTACTTGAAGTTATTGCATAATATTTATTATATCAAATTGGATATCATATTGTAGTATACATAATATTTCAGAAACCGTCACCCTGGAGGCCCGGTGTTGTGTGGTTCGTGTAGGGTTAGTATTCCTGTGTTGTTGTAGGTTTGCTCGGGAAAAGCACGCCTCCACGCCGACATACACTCCAATATTTTATATATTCCGTTGCAATATAAGATACTGTAGTACACGATAATCTAATATAATACAATATAATACAATATAACACAATACAATACAATATAATACAATATAATACAATATAATACAATATAATACAATATAATACAATATAATACAATATAATACAATAAAATCCAATACAATAGAATATAATACAATATAATACACTATAATACAATATAATACAATATAATACAATATAATACAATAAAATCCAATACAATAGAATATAATACAATATAATACAATATAATACAATATAATACAATATAATACAATATAATACAATATAATACAATATAATACAATATAATACAATATAATACAATATAATACAATATAATACAATATATAACAATATATATAACAATATATATATATATATAACAATATATATATATATAATACAATATAATACACAAAGATATATTGAAAATAATATAGTGTAAAATAAAAATGCAATATAAACAATACTGTAAATGGCTGCGAGGCTCAAGACCCCTTGATGAGTCAAGCTACCTCGAAGTTTCCAAACATGGCCGAAACCTCGGATCTCCAGCTCGTTCCTGCTTCGGAGCCGGAGGATGCTTCTCCCAACAAGCGCCAGCGTCAAGTCATCCAGACCACAGATTCTGATCTAGCTGTCACTATCCAGAATGAAATTTCCACGTCTCTCGCATCCCAGTATTAGTCTTTCTCTCCGGAGTTTGCAGGTTGGACAAGTAGCTCAGAATCAGAAGATGGCGGATATGGAGAGGGAGAATGCCAAAACTCAAATCATTATTGCAGATATATGAATGAAGCTCATAACAAGAGGATGGATGGGCTGCAAGCGGAAAGTCTGGATCTTCAGAAGAAGGTCAGTGAGTCCGCTCCAGTTTGCCCTACCTCCCGGGGATGCCCCGTGACTACCCGGTGCCACCTGTTGAGGAAATGTCGTTTGACCTGGTTGTCGGTGGTTGGAAGGCTGGTCGGTCGAGGGAGAATGTGTCGGAGCAGTTGAATATGAATTATTTTGGGGTCAAATTCTTCAATGATCGTGTGCGACAGATTCGGGTGTTTGGCAAACAACCAGATGCGGGCAAGATCCTTCTTTGCATGGATGCGGGTGCCACAAATGAAGCCAACAAGGGTTTCCAGATCAACACACGAGAGGCTATCTGCGCCGTGCTATCACCTGATTGGTGGGTGACGCTGGCTGAGCCACCGTGTATGCGTAAGGTATGCAAAGCCGTAACCATGTTGAGCCACTTTCTTGAGTCAAAACTTGGTCTTGCCAAGAAGGATCAGGTCATGGGTTCTTGGCAGCGAGCTCGTGTATTTCTTGGGGAATGTCAAGCTACCAGAAGGTCGCTGGTCCTCGTGATGTCGCCCGGCATGAGAAAATCACTTTAAGTGATGAGGAAACAGCAGTGACAGTGGCAGCAGATTTCAGCATCTGCCAATCGCACGGTGGAGGATGTTGCTGTGTTGTGGCGGGTGCATTTCGCGTGACTTGGGGAGGATGGTGTTTCATCCTTGCGTGCAAAAGAATTCGCTCATACAGCTCATTTCGTGGAATACTCAAGGCAAGTCCTGGTCCGAGACTTTGCAAGTTCTTGAAGATTCAGAGCCTGACTCCCAACGGTGATGCAGGGGGCAAGCCTCGCAATGACGACAACAATCGGGTTGCATGTTAGGTGGCAGAGGCTTTGTGGTTTTCACTTGCAAGCCCGGTGGTTTTCATCGCAAATTGGCTGTGTGCTTTGATGAGACTTGGGAAGGGCGGTGGAGCAGGTTCCAGGTTGGTCACTCCCACGTTTCAGTCCATCCCTGGCAAGCTTGTGAGAGCTTTGTCACTTCGCTTATGCCAGTGGAGAAACAGCTACTTATTGTATTTCTGGGTGACCTAAACTTCGACAGTCATCGGTAGGAAGATTCGTCGGAGAGAGGTTTGCTGCATGCAGCGCGCTCGAAATGCTCGGGCTCAAGATCCTGCCTCAAAATGCGGAGACACGAGGCCCTGGACTATGTCCGGTGCAATAACTCCTTTGCATCTCTGGTGCTTCATGTGAATCCGGAGGACGGGGGACCTTGGGGTGATAATGTTGTCAGGCCTGACCTCCAGGCAACTCTGGTTGTCGATCATGCCTGCGTGATGTGCGACTCCTTGGTGCCAGCGCCGTTACAGAAAAGCAAGCAGACAAAGGCCAAGCACTGGTCACGGATACCGTGGAAAGTGTATGTTGCGCGGCATGATGAGGTTGAAGCTTTCTGCAAATCGGCCTGCTGCTGCCATGCTTTTGACGATCGGTAGAGCTCCTTGAAGTCCCTTGCTGGTCGTGCTACGGTCCCGCGCCGTTCTGTCAGATATGTTGACCCTTCGGAGGTCAAGAGCTTGGTCAGGCAGAGGTCCAAGTGCTTCGGTTCGGTCAAGAGGAAGTTGTTGTCGTTTGAAATTTCCAGAGTTCGTGCTGCAGCCAAACATGCTTGGAAGCTTGAACTGGCTCGGAGAGCAGCCAGCGGAGACTGGTTGGCCAAGAAACACATCACCAAGCGGGATGTTCTGTGCAGCCCTGTGGCCCATGGTGCTTTTTGCATGATGAGGACAAGAGCACGGTAGTTGATCTTGTTGCTGCGCATTCTCGGGCTCAACTTGGACGTGATGAACAGGTTGATTTATCTGGCATGTTTGCAGGTTTGACTGATGAGGAGGGATTTTCTCTCTGGAAGAAGTTTCCATGTGCTTGCTGCTTGTTCTCCATGAGGGCCAACAGGACCTCAGGTACGTCAAAGATAAGTGTGGAACTTTTCCAATCCATGGCTGCCCATGAGGGTGGTCTGCAAAGCTTGAAGCACATGCTTGACGATATCCTTCAGGATCCGCGCCTACTCCAACAGCATGATCTGCTAATTGGATGGGTGATCCACCGAAAAAATTGCAAGTGCATAATGCGTCCTACTGCGCCCGATTGTCCTGCGGGGAGGTCCTGGTCAAACTCCTTGCGAAGCTGTGTATGCGGAGTGAATTTCGACGTGGCCCACCCCGAAGTCATGTTTTGGTTCAGTTCGGTGTCGTGGCATGGCGGATGCTGCATTTCTGACTTCGGTGGTTGTCAGGGAATCTGTTATTGTGGGAGCCCCTGTGGTTGCTGTCAAACTGGACTTTTTGGCAGCGTATGACACACTGAAACTTTCGGCGGTGCTAGGATGGCTTGCCCAACGACGGAGCAGTTCCACAGGGTTTGAGCAGGAGTGGGCCCAGGCTCAGTGTGTTGGCACGCAACAAGGTGCCACCCATTCTCCCGTGCTTTTCAGCTACTTGGTCTTTGAGTTCGATGTCTTGACAGCGAAGGGGAAAGCTGATGGTGAATCTCCCCTATTCTACGCTGGGCCGTACAGTATGTGGGGCGTCTGGTTTGTAGATGATACCACGCTGTTCTTCTTGTACCCTTCCCAGTTCAGCAGGTTGATGCCTGCGGTCGTGTCCACCTTGGCTGGAATGGAATTGCGCATCAATGTCAAGACAACCTGCACTCCAGGTTTGACTGTCCGACATGTTTGCATTGCTTGCCGGACTGCGACATGAGTTTCAAATCACGGAAAATCGCTTCCAGATGTTCACATCTCTTGTTGCCTTTGCCATCAGGTGGTTGCTGTGCGTGGTCAATCCCCGTGACCAAACTTTCGCAAATTTTCGCAAGCTTCGCATCATGTCACTTTGATCAGCTGCATGCTGAGGCTTCAGTAATGCGGTTCTTGATTCCTGAGGCTATAGCTCACTCGCGTCATGCATGTAAGCTGTAGCTGTGGTGTTACTCTGAAAGATGGGACCGGCTACATACACGTATGGTCTGGGATTGGGCTGGTCATGTGTTTCGCTGTCCAGACGCAGCGTTGGCTTATCATGGTTTCGGTCGTCATTGCGACTTGAAGGTGCCCGGGCAGTGCGGCCGGGACCCCAATACTTTGGGCATCGCCGGCTAATGGCTTTTCTGGAAACTAGGGGGGATCCAGCGTGCCCATGATCGAACACTGTGGGCGTCTTATGTTCCGGATTGGTTGCGTTCTTGTCGCATGCCTGTGGTGCACCGCCTGTACAACGTGCAGTGGGTGCCTGAGACTCAACACTTGGGAACGAGATGGCGTGATGTTCAGTGCTCGTTTGTTGGGCAGGAGATCTGGATTTTGGATCAGGACACTCTCCCCGTACCTCTTCTTGGTGGTACATGGGATGATTATGCATGACGTGGACAAAGAACTCACAGCGAACGGTGAGTTTCTTCCCTGGCTCTATAGCCAAAATCAGCTTTCTATGATCTGGCCTATGCCGACGACACCGCCCTCTTAGCAGGCACAGCCACCAGAGCAGAACAACTGCTACACACATTACAAAGAGTGGCCTCACACAGCAACCTGCGCCTAAACCTCAAGAAGTGCGTCTTTTTACGCTCTCCCACCTCGCACAACACACACACACACACACACCTTCACAGACGGCACACCCGTCACCATAGAACAACAACATGCCAAGTACCTGGGAGTCATCCTCAGCAGCGACGGCTCCACACACACAAAGACGTCACCACACGCCTGGCTAAGTCACGCAAACACTTCCACGTGCTCCACCAGTTCTGGCGCAACACAGACCTCACACGTAAGTGGAAGCTCAGAATCTACAGCGCGGCTTTCATACCGCTTGTCACTTACGGGCTAGAGTCGGCCGCCCTGACAATCAGCGATTACAACAGACTCGAAGCATTCCACTCACAATGCCTGAGGAAAATCCTCCACTTCAAAAGCACTTACTACGCACAAGTCCTGCAACCATCAGCCTGCACCTACACAAACCAAGAGGCTCGCGCCCTCACAGAGCAGCCCCCTTCACACACCACATCCACAAAGCACAACTGAAGCTTTTCGGGCACATTCTTAGATCCGACCAGTATAGAACGGAAGTGCTGTTTTACGCATACATGTCAGTACAGAAGGGGAACGGTAGGAGCAGGCCTCAGGCCAGGTAGGAGGCGAGTCCGCTGGACAGAACAGTGTACCAAACTACTTTGGCACTGGCTTTTCAAGTCCTCCCGGCACCCTCCAACCCGAAGCCTACCTTCCCGTTTTCGTATCTACAAGCTCACAGACTAGCTGTAGACCGCCACTTTTGGAGTAACCTAGTGAGGCTGCCAACGTGCAAGACACTCCTCACAGCGAACTCCTTTTCAATCTACTCACAAACCGTACAAAAGGAGTTACTGCGTGAGAGTTGCATAGGGCCGCCCAAAAAAACGCAGAACTTTTACCGAAATCGGGTGTTTATTTCAAGAATCATCTGAAATCAGTTGGTGAGGCTGAAATCTGTAATCGCTTCCCCCTAATATTAAACCCCCCCCTCCCTAACATAAAAACCCAAATCCGGGGGTTCAGTTTTTATATTAGGGGGGGGTTTCGGCGCATCCGGGTATGAGATGGGTTACTGTAAGCTGTAGCTTTGAGCCTTTTGAGCCCTTATGTATATGTATATGCAAAAGTACATGTACATGTATATGTATAAGTATATGTACATGTAAACATACACACGTACGCACCTGGTAAAGACGTGTTGAGCAACAGATACAACAGAGTGGAAAGTCTTCAATCATCAGTTACGGCTTTTTGTTGCGTATTTGCCGCAAGAATGGGGCGGTTCCCCGTCTTTGACTCAAAGTCCCCTTCTTTGAAAGGCCCAGGCCTTCCAGCAGGCAGCGCAGGCACATTCTGCCCCTTCTTGTCCGTGCAAACTTTGTCTGCGGATGCACGGTTGCTTGCTACCGGCATGCACCTGATATCCTGATATCAGCATGGTTCCAGTGTTAGGTTCTGGCTAAGACCGATGTTCTTCAGAAGCAGGGACAGCAAGGTCTTCAGCTGAAGTCTCGAGTGATCATCAGTCTGGCAGTGCTTCAGCATGAAGAGGGGAGTTGTTGGCTGTGCTTTTGCCTTTCGATTGTTGATTTCTTCATATACATCCGCAGATACGGGATCGCACGTAGCAGCAATCAGATCTAGGAGTTCGGCCTTGCAACTGCCGGGTGCTCAGGCATGAAACTGAGATTGTGCCGAATCGTGTGCCGTTGTGCCGCAAACCCCCCCCCGTCTCCCGCCCTTCCCCCGCGCCGCGTGTGGTTCAGGGTTCCAGTTTGAGGAGGTACTTAATTTAGCCGCTATGTGCTATTGGTACACGAAACGTCTGACTCTGTGCAGGGCGGAGGGTCTCGGTTCAACGACCCAGTCCCCTTCTTTTCACGGCAATATAATCCAGTAAACATGTAGTAAAACTACCATCCATAAGCATGGTAGTGAAGATCGGAAGGCATAGCAATAAAAGTGATTATCGGAAACTAACAGTAATAGTTTAATAGTATTACTGGCAATAAGTAATCATGGTGTTATTAGTCACACACACACACATATTCGTGGTCATGATAGCAATAGTTGTATTAATTGTAAATATTGATAAGCATAGTAGTTGTAATACCGTTTATAGAAATCGCACTGATGGTATCAATTGTATACCGAAGGTACCAATAATAATACAGAGGGGGCAGTTGGCACTCCAGAAGGGACCGCTCTGGGGCTTGTGTTTTGCAGCATGGCGATTTTGAGGTTTGACGAGATGTATGGGAAAATATGATCTTCATCGTAAGAATGGCAATAGTAGCAATTCTAGTTTTTATAGTGGAATTATCGAAAACAGGAAGAATAACAGTAGTAGTGATAGTAGCAGTCATAGTGATAAGGGTATTGACAGCAATACTAGAGCCAGTACTAATGGTCGTAAACATAGTAATTAGAGTAATAGTAATAAGAGTAGTAAATTAGGATTGATAGTAATGCTACGAATAGTTGTGGTCATGGTGCTGTTAGTCAGAACAGTAATAGTATCTTTCGCGGAGCAAGCAGTAAGTCTAGTTGTAAATGATATTCAAATAGTCCTCATGGTCATACAACCCTTTTCTGAACAATCGTAGAGAGCTTCTTCCCGGCCTTGCGATTTCAGTTTTAAGTAGGAGCAGAAGGGAGAGGCGTGTGAGTTCGGATTGGATGCGTTATCATGACTACCGTTCATCATTATTATTGCTTTTGTCACAACTATCATTTTTCCGTTATCGCTACTGTGACCATTATGATCAGATTGGTTTACGATGCTTATTAACTACTAATCGTGACAACTGGAGCTATCGCTACTGTTTGCATTATGACCATCGAAAGTGCCGTGGAATGTGGGAGGGGTTGGGTCGTGAAGGGGTGAGTGGGGGGGCTTTTTGGCTTTTCTCGTCGACATCGCTGAGCTCTGTGCGAGTGTGTGTGTGGCACATGTGAACACGAGTGCAACAGCAGGGCCAATCTCAGCATGAGTCACGCGCAATAGTGTTGTGTCGTGGCCTTGGCTTCGTCTAAATTTGGGCAGATGGGGAGTAGCTGTCGCACGGCAGCATGCAGCGTGACAGCTTTCAGTCTTTACAACAGTAAGTCTGTCAAATCTTGCCCTTGAGAAATTACGTGTCCCCAGGTCATGCCGTCCATTGTTCCCTTCCTCCTCCTTCCCACTGCCTTGGGAGCCGGTGCGGGTGACTATGGGAACTACATCGCAAAGTATGGTGACTTCCACAAGCCCCTTGCTTGCACTTTCCGGGTTTCGGGGATTCGCTGGGTTCGATGAAGGCTGCAGATGGGCAGCATGTATGTTTTCAAGAGCTTTTCGGGACTTGTGCTGCTCCTGTTCGATTCGGAGGCATGGACATGCTTGAATTGTTGTTTAAACCTTGCATCTTCTTTTTTCTTGATCGCCATGCGGTCGTGGTTGTGCTGTAGCATCGAGGTACATCAGCGACTACGCAGGCAACTATGCAGGCAACTATGCTGGCGACTACGTGCCCTCTCAGGGCCGAGCCTCGGGGAAGTCTTCGCCAGTGAGCTTCGCCGCTTCCGAGCCGAAGAACAGTGACAGCTCCGCCTCGGATCACCAGAAAGCTACCGGGAACTACCAGAATCTTGGGCAAGTATTTTTTTGTTGACTCTGGTGTTTCTGAAGTCGTCCTCCCAAGAACAAGAGATACATGTAGATCAACATCCCAAGCAGTCGACACCAAGAGTCAAGTTTTGGGACCGACAGGGTCGGTAGGGATGCTGAGAAGCGTCTGGATGGTCAGTATATGGAGATTGACAAGCAGCATCGACATGACAGTTGCGATGACCGAATCAGTATGACGAGACCGATAATTTCAAGGTGTTAAGGTCCAGTAAGAAATGCTTGCTCAAGCCTCAGGAAGTATTCCTCGCAGTTTCAGAAGAACCAGGCCTTCGCGTTTTGGTTTGGCAATTGGGGTATCCACTCAGTTGTGCTTTGGTTTGGGGTTTTTGGACTACTTGATGTCCTTAAGAATCACCAGGGGGACTACGAGACGTACATGGCCCAGTACATGGCGGACTTCCCACAGTACATGAACACGCATGCTCATGGAGCACAGGGTGGAAGTCGCTTTGCAGGAAATTGGTCACTTCTTGGTGCGGGCCTGCGCGATTTCTGTTTCCTCCATGGTAGCAGGGTGTTGTTCCCAGCTGTAGCAGAGGTGATTACCAAAAGTACATGTCCGACTACCAGCAGTACATGGGTGGCCAGGGAGGCTGCCGAGAGGGTTCTCGGAAGTAAGGCCTTGGGGTTTCATATCCGGGTCATCAGTGGTTTGCAGAACGGATCTTGCATGATGTCTTGGGTCTTCGCCGAAGTTTGTTGAGTTGAGTGACAAGCTGGGAGAAAGATGCGAGACGACCAAAGCTTTCGCAGAAATAGGACTCTCAAGACGCCTCACCGAGCGCCTCCTGGTTTTTGGTTTCATACCTGATGGCAGGCTACCAGAAGTATATGGCCGACTTCCAGCAGTACATGAAAGGCCAAGGCCCTTAGCTCCTGTCAAAGCCTGCCTGTGTAGGGTACCCGAGTAGTACTCTTTTATTTTGCGGGTGTTTGGGAAAAGGTCGGGACCTTGCAAATCCTAACCTCCGAGAAATAAAAGATTAAAGCTTAGCGTGGGGTTTCGCGGTTCCACAGACCAGGGTTCGGGGCTCAATGCCTTGGACAGATGCATTTCCCACGCAGGAAAGGGGGACTATCAGAAGTTCATGGCGCAGTATGCCCAGGACTTTCAAAAGTACCTGCAAGGCCAGGGAAAGAGCGCCAATGGAAATGGGGACTACCAGAAGTACATGTCTGACTTCCAGCAGTACATGAAGGGACAGGGAGGCAGCCATGGAGACTACCAGAAATACATGTCCATGTACGCGGCTGATTTCGACAAGTATCAGAAGCAGTACACCAATGGTCAGGGAGGCAGCCTGCCGGGGGGTGAGTTACTGTCAGTTCAGGATCTTACATAATTTTTCTGGAGACACGACAGACAGAGACAGACACACACTCACACACTCTCACACTCTCACACACTCTCACACACTCTCACACACTCTCACACACTCTCACACACTCTCACACACACACACACACTCGCACTCACACACGCACGCACACACACACACACACACACACACAAACACACACACACACACACACACACTCTCACACACACACACACACACACACTCAAGCACACTCACGCACACTCACGCACACTCACGCACACTCACGCACACTCACGCACACTCACGCACACTCACTCACTCAAACTCAGGCACACTCACACACACTTACACACACTCACACGCACTGACACACACTCACACACACACACAAACATGCATGTACTCGCAAAAAAGACGCGGCGCGACTCTTGCGAACTGTTCGGGTTGCTCACCGGCCCAATAGATGAGGGACATGTCTGAGAATGTTCAAGGCCACAGCTTCCTTTTTCCAATCTCCCAAAGCTTCAACGGAATCCTCTTTTCTGGCATTCCGTCGTAAGAAGCAGAAACACTGGAAGCTCCAACGCCCCTTACTCCAGGCAAGCAGGGCGACTACACGCAGTTCATGGCTCAATATGGACAGGGAGCGGGTGCTCAGGGTGACTATCAGAAGTTCATGTCTGGATACCAGCACTACATGCAGGGACAAGGAGGCAGCGAGGGATGAAGTTCCTGTCGCGCAAATATCTAAAGCCTGGAGATTCCGAGCCAACATGATGCAGGCATGTACTAGACTTTTACTGCCCCATTGCAATTAACTCAGCAGGGACTAGCTGAGCAACCAAAGCTGTTTGGCATGACTTATGAAAGCCGGAGGTCATGCGTTTGTATTCAGTACTGGATCTTGCCATCGTAGTACATGTCTTGATTGTGTGGTGTGAGCTCGCCGTTTGCTTCGGTTCGCAGCCCAAGCTGGCTGAATCGACCAAGCAACGGCAGGTTGATAGTTTAATCAAGCTTAATCGGTGAATTGCTATCATTTGACTCTCCGTTTGGTGACGTGCTGTTGTTTGCCACCAGCATCATGTTATTCCACACGGGATGTACGCAAGATCGACAACCATGTTTCCGGAACACACGCAGAAGGAAACCCATCCGGGGCCGAGTCACGACACACACTGCTGCGGCTGCTGCTAGATGCTTGTGAGGCCAGGGAAAAAGTGCCACTGGCGACTACCAGAAGTACATGTCTGATTTCCAGCAGTACATGAAGGGACATGGAGGCAGGCAAGGGTCGGACGCCCTACACGCACTTTCGGCTGGCAGGGTCATCGAACCGCACAGAACTGCACAT